TTACGTAAATATGACCACCAACATTCAATGCGTTGATTTGATGGTGATGTACCATATCTGTGTGCTTTTTCACCAGCATATTCATCGTCCCCATTGCATCGAAAGTATGACTGCATAGCAGCCATAATAACATTTTCTGTACCATTGTCAGTTCGTAGTATAGTTGGACATCCCCCATATTCTCTAACAGCATTTAGAAAGTGTTGTCCAGTGATGGCTGGATCATTGTTTGTCCTACAAACCTTTAACCACAGCACTTTGCGACTGTAACCATCTATGCATCCATGCACAGGAAAACCATAAGGTTTCAGTTTATCGTATCCATCGACATGCCATGAATGGTTAGGGCCTGGTGTGTGATAAACTCGACGACGAAGTGTCTTAGATCTTCTTTCTGACACACCTTCAGGGTCAAGTTCCTTCAGGACTAAACGAACAACTTCTCTTGGCACCTGAATACCTTCCATTTTTAATGTGTGCCAGACAGCACGGTACCCACCAGAGCAACCAGGACCGTCCAGTTCTTGCTGTATACGACGGCGGACGTGATCAATATTGTAATTAATGTTTTTCCTTTTAAGACCTAGGTCACGAAGTTTTGTATGCAATGTCCTTAGAGACATTTCAATGTCATGGTATTTCGATAAAAATGAGAGAATTTTCTGATAGTTGAACCCTCTCTTGAAGTAACGTTGTATAAGTTCCTCACATGTGGGAATTTCGGGTGGAACTTGATCCATTTTTCCAAAATATACCTCAATTTTTTAGTCCAAAACAAACCACAAACTCACGAACAGAGGTCTGCGAATTTTCGTTGTTGCATATTTTCACAATCGCAAAATGGATAAATGGGTATAACAGGGGCAGACAGGGGTGTTCGCAAAATGTTCCTACATGATCCCTAATGTTCGCAGATGCAACATTTTGTTGTGTATTGAGAATAAAATATATTTGCGTATCGAGTTTTCGTGTTCACGTTTCGCACGAAATTTATTCAGATGTTGTGAGATATGTTGTTGCGTATTTACCGAATTTATCGTGCACTGAAACGTATTTACGTGAACATATACTTCGAATTGTGTATTGAATATTTTGTTTGTGGATTTCAACTCTTGTTTGTGCACTAATATTTTCTTTTGTGTATTGCACATAGGGGCCACCGTAAAAACTCTCAAGTTGATGCAATACTGTGATGAAAACAGGATTGGACAATGTTTTGCTGCCCACATTGTTCATATAGCTGTCAACAATATTGAACAATGTTGATACACCAGATTCAAGCTCAACATTATTGTTCAATATTGTTGACAAGTGTGAACAACGTGGGCAGCAAAACATTGTTCAATCCTGTTGAGCAGCAGGCTCGGCGTTTTTTGCCGAGTATGCTATAACCTGTTTTTATGGCTAGTTTCACACTAACGAATTTAATGTTTGTAGAAAAACAACTATGGACTTTTTGAATAAAAAACATGAAGGATTAAAGTTTTAAGGATTATACTTGTGCTCAATCGTGAAACGAAGGCAATAAGAATGAATTAATACGCGACCGTACCTGATTTTTTGATAAGCCGAGCTTCCCTAAGTAAGTAATTTAGTAAGTATATAAATAGAGTTTCAAGAGGAAACTTGCTCGAGTATTGACACATTTAGGGTACTTTTTAAAACACTTCTGAAAACAGAAAAGTTCACCCCACTGCCTAAAATTAAACTGCGGAACACTACTCAAACTTCTAACAGCACGATCTCTCTCCGAACTCACTACTACTGTTCATGCATACTTAATTTTATATTCCAGATCCGAATATTGGAATCCGAAATCACATATACGTGTATTCCTGATAATGTGAGATGTAATTATGCAACCAGGCTATTAAAGGCATTTCAGAAACTATTCCTCTTAAACTAACTATAGCATATTATAACTTTTGCACATACACGATACGGTTGCCATTAATGCACTAAAGAATATTCCAAAATAAAGTGCTCACCCACAGGCTGCTTTATTTACTGCTCTAGAACATTTGGAACACTGTTCTAGAACGAGATGAAATGTGTGCACACGGTGTTCTGAAGCAAAATTTTGTTTATTTTTTATGCGTGCAACCATGCATTAGGCTATAGGCCTACTATATTCATTAGTTATTTGCATGTAAAAATCGTATAATGATTTGCTGTTATTTGTACATTTTGTCATCTGTTCCATTCCATTAGTGTTCCGACAAACCGGAGTATTCCGAACAGTGAATGGAGCAGCTTGCTAGGGCAAAACAAACAAAAACACAATTGCCCGCCCAATAAATACATGCACGCAAAATTATTATTTAATTTTTTCATTTTTATCCCTATAATACAAATGCTATGGGAGGCTACAAGTCTTTAGCCATGCCTGAGACACTCGGTCAATAGCGTTGTCCGCAGTAGCTAAAAATAGATTCTCCAAGTGAAGACCCCCCACGAGACTCAGACAAACAAACTAACATTTTGTATAGAATTGTACTAGCAGCGAACATAAATTGGTCTAAATTGACGTTTTCATTTATTTTATCTGTACTAAAACGAATTCAAATTTATCCCAAATTACAAACATGGTTAATGCTAAGCACTGTTGCTGGGGAACATGTCCAAGTGATTCGAGATACTAAGAAAAACTGCCGAAACAGGGAATTGAAAAGTCGGACGGGACGGGAATGTCTGCAGTACCAAAGTGTTGATTGTTATATTATTATAGATATAAAACCAAGGTTGAAGTCCTACCAAGTATTTCCGTGGAAATTAAGAATCGAATGATTTAGGAAGCCATCAACTGCAGTGTTTACTTTTACAAGTCTATTTTTACCGTTTGACATTCGTTTATTTGTCCAAATGTTTTGAGCTTAATGCTGATTGGCTAATGCGCCGTTTGTTGATTTTTTCAATTTCTGTTCTGCAATGTGATTGGTTAGTGTTCTGAAAGTGAGCCCCACTTACTGTAGACGCACTGTAAAACAATTGTCTTGTAGTTAAAGTCCGGTGACCGGAAGAAGTCGTTTCAGCTAATTAGGAATACGGGAAGCTCGGCTGGTCTGGCTTATATTTCCTTATCATTGCCAAAAAATATCGCTGTTGTTTCAGCTCAGGAAGAAGGTACAATGACCTGCATGCCCTGGTTTATCACAAGCTAGTGAATAAATGATATCACATTTTCATGGTTTCATATTTAGCTTTTGCAATGTCAATTGGCATAATTTAATATTGGCAAAATAATATGCTGTGTATATCCTCGTATAGTTTCTTTTTGTTCTATAGTGCAATCGATCACCTATTTTTAAATTAATATACATTTAAAATATTTCTTTCTCGGATCAGCGAGTCACGCAAGAAGCACTTAATTAGGGCTCAAAACCCAATTAAAGTATGCATGTGGCTCACATCGTGAAAGCCTAAGGAAGTGAAATGTCATGGACGTTTGATGGTGTGAAGTGGTAAGTATACCAAGCTTATAACTGGGTAACATATGGATTTTGTTTTCCCAATGTCACATGTCTTCTGGTCTTGCTATATGCTACCTTCTTAATTGTCTTCTTTCCCTACAGGTTTGTAAAGAAACGATTACAAAACTACTGCACGCAGTACGGATTTTTTTCAATGAAAGAAAGGTCGAAGTTAATTTTAACAAGGCCGATAAGGCACATTTTTCCCGTAGACAGTCGGACTCCTCATTGATAGTCGGACGCATCATTGACCTGCTCCCTTAAACAAAATGTATTATAAATGTACAATAGAAAATTATAATTAGACTGTACTTCTAAGAGACTTGATATAATGTAAGTCTTTTTAAATCCATTGATATATATTACACCTTGAAATGTTAAAAAGTTTGGATTTCTTAAGTTGTAATTATTCGAATGCTTTGTAGGTAAGAGATGGTGAATTTTATGATGTTTATCATTCACAATTGATTTGAAGACTTTGGTACATAATCTTTTCCTTCTTGTCTTCAAAGTTTCCAAATCTAATTCTTCAACGGCTTCTGAGTCCGGGCATATGATGCGCAAAGGTCTCTTTTAAATCCGCTCTATTTGGTCTGAAAGAATTTCCGGGAGACCGTAATGAAATACTTGACATACGTATTCAAGGATAGATCTTACAGAAGCAATATAGAAACATTTTAAATCATTGTCACTAAGACCCGATCTCTTTAGTTGTTTTATCAGATACAATCGCTTCGCTGCTCTAGTTGTTATCTTATCCGCATGGGCATTCTACTTCATGTCTTGAGTGATCAATAAACCGAGAATCGTTGCTTTTTCAACACGCTCTACTTTAATTCCGTTTATCTTTATCGGCGGGAAAACAGGTTTATTACGTTGAAAGTTAATCACAATCTCCTTGGACTTTATCTGGTTGAGTTCAAACTTTTTGTAAGTTGACCAATTCACAATACAATTAGTAACATCTTGCAGGGAACTCGTATACTCTTGATTTAATATATATTAGAGAGATGAAAGATCTCGTATTTTTCTTCAAGGCGTTGTACGGTTACGTCGATCTTAACATTAACAATTGCGTCTCTTTTATTCAACATGGACGTACTCGACTTAGCCAAGCTACTGGTGTAATGCTTCAAACTCCTATGTGTAGAACTGCTACGTTTCAATCATCTTATTTCAACCGTATTGTCAAACCGTGGAACAATGTATGTCAAGATGTCAATCCTGATACATTCTCTAGCCCTATCTCTTTCAAAAACTTTCTTAAACGCAGCTATTTAGAACTTCTACACTCTGTATATGATGTTGACCTACCCTGTACTTGGTTCTCGGTGCGTGACTGTCCCTGTCACAGAGAACAGCGAAAATAAATGTGTGTTTAATAGACCATCTTTCGGGCTATTTTCCAGTGCAGTCGCTTTGCCCGCGCGAGCGGAAAGGACTTTCATTTTTGTCCGCCTGAATGCTCGCGGACAGGCCGTGAAAGTAGAACTAATTTTTCACATGATAAAATCGCGCGTACGGGGCGACTGCGGTGGGAAGTGGCCTTTACGCGTCTGTGTGTAACCTGTCTGTGTGTGTAAAGCCTGGTTCACATAGAGTCGTTGAGCGGTCGCGGACTGTCGCGGGCATGTGCCGAATTTTTATGTGAACGATCTGCGACGGATCGGGAAAGTTGAACCAAGTTCAGCTTTCCCGATCCGTCGCCGATCCGGTCTCAGACAGTCTGTGCGAATCTGCATTTGTGTTCAAAATTCGGCACATGTCTGCGGCTGTCTGCGGCTGCTTGGCGATTTTGTGTGAACCAGGCCTAACCTGTCTCTGTGTGTGCTTTGTCTGTGAGCGTGCGTATATGTATACTATGTGTATATAAGTATATAACTGTACATATAATCATATAATTGGACGCCGGAAGGAGCCTTGCATGGGAACTTTTCAAAGAGTCCCGTTCGTACCTTGCCGTTTTGGATCTAGCTTTCAAATGTGTTATATATATATATATATATATATATATATATATATATATATGTATATATTGATCCAAATAAATTTGTTAAATTAAAAAAATTAAAAAAATTTAAAAAAAAATAAATTAAAATTAAAATTATATTCAGAAACATTGGTGTCGTCTGCGTATTTTAACATATCACCTTCAACATTATCAAATGAATCAGATTGGATTGAAAGATCGTTGATCATAAGGAGAAATAGCCATGCCCCCAATTTGGTTCCCTGAGGAATTCCAGCATTTATAAGTTTCCAATCGGAAAAACAGTCCGAGTGGAGCTATATACCCTTTCTGATTGTGCAGGAAATCTACTATCCAATTAAACACCGATGGTTTAATACCAATTTGCTTCAGTTTATGGCAAAGAATGTTATGATCTATTAAATCAAATGCCTTCCGCTAATCCGTAAGCAGCGCTCGTACGGATCCGCCCCTCGCACCAACAGTTTCTGTCCAACGATGAATTAAGGATATTAGGGCCAATAGGGTAGTACAGGAGCCAGGTATGAAACCATATTGATTGG